CGAATGAAAGCCGACAACTCTCTACTTTTTTCCGTATCCGTCTCCCTTTATTCTATTTGCGTTTCGAGCTCAAACCATTGACTGGTCTGCACTGATACATGTGTCTGTTCGACGTTGTTATTGTTTACTTTACCGATTTGTATTTCAGACGCCACCGCTCTGAAATTTCGATATATTTTTTTTAAATAAAACTCAAGTGACAAACGAACTTGCAGTCCGCCTGGTGGTGAATGGCTAACGCAGTCCATGGACACCTTCAGCCAACTTCAAACAATAAAAGCCTACAGATGCGTTGTCCTTTCTGGGGAATAACATGAAACATTATGGTGAGTGCAGAGAACCGGAGACCCTTTTTACTGGAAAAGAGGCATTCCATCTTAGTCCTCACGGGTGACAACGCATCTGCATTTTGATTCGCAAACGAGGATAGATTTAGATGTCTATGGGCCACAGCAACCACTTACCATCAGGTGGACTGTGTGCTCGTTTGTCACCCTATCCTATAAAAAAATCACCTCAAAACCTGATTCAGATTCAGATTCAGATTCTTTATTTGCCACAATGTAGGTATAGGTATAAGATGGTACATTACTAAGTGTTTCCGCTATACTCTACCTTACGGCATGCAAAGTCATAAAAACTAAAAGATTTTTCTGATAGCAAATTAACTACCTGTAATTTATACTGAGTCGCTATACTCTTCACAATTCGTTCCAGCCTAGAATAATCTATAAGATTTGGCAATTAAACTTTATGTCAACTTAGTAGCGTTACGTTGAAGCTATCATATTGTAGTTGCATCAATAATGGTTTGGCTCGAGCGGAAAGGACTACGCTTTCACAGAATGCAAGGGAAAATTAGCTTAATTCTGCTGTGTTCCGTATATCGTGTAGCGAACCGAGGTGAAATATCTTATTAGTAACCATATATTTCGCCAAAGTCAAGAGATCTTGGTTAGATGAGTTTTTATTAAATTGTGTTTTGTTGCAAATACCGTATATAATTTCATATGCATTTAGTAAAAAGCTATTATTTTGACATTACAAACAGATACTTCAATTTTATTTATTTGTATAGATATCGATCACCACATATTTGTTCACCCGTGGAGATGGAATTTTTTCATCGTATTTACATGAAATTACCTTTGAAGTCTATTTAAAATACATGAATTATTAAAATACTTTCACACTAAGCGATAATAACGCGTAAAATATATACACATGAACATACAGATGAATAAGCCGTCAAAAGGGAAGTTGATAATGACGATAGACCAAATTGCACTCACACAAAGTATATCAAATGGTACGTCATCATCATCATCATCATCATTACAGCCCTTCACAAGTCCACTGCTGAACATAGGCCTCCCCCAAGGAATGCCACAAAGCACGGTCCTGAGCCACCTGCATCCATAGACTTCCTGCATGTCTTATCAGGTCGTCACTCCATCTAGTGGGGGGTCGCCCTACACTTCCACTACCGGTACGAGGCTGCCACTCGAGAATCTTTCTTCCCCATCGGTTGTCAGTTCTTCGAACTATATGGCCAGCCCACTGCTACTTCAGCTTACTAATCCGTTGGGCTATGTCTGTTACTCTGGTTCTACTGCGGATATCCTCATTTCTAAGTTAATCACGCAGAGGAACCCTGAGCATAGCCCTCTCCATAGCTCGCTGAGCGACCTTGAGCTTCCTCATACGGCCAGAAGTGAAGAACCACGTCTCAGATCCGTAAGTCATCACTGGCAACAATGGTACGTCATTAAAAATAAATTAACAGTAACACAACATACACTTTAGAATAAATATACCACCTTTGAGGTATAGCTTATTTAATAAAATAATAGTCATTAAAATCGGTGGAGATGTTGCGTATTATAAATAAATAGGTACTTACAAATTGTAACCTCGTAATTTTTGTAGTCGACTAATAAGACTTCACGTTCATTTCTCCTTGATATTATATCCTACTCATATATATACATACGGTCGGGCTTGGGCAGATTATGTGGAGGTAGATCAGACGGCTTATTAGCGCAGTGGCTAAGAGTATGGTTGCGGCTCTGCATGGGCGTGGCATCGATTCCCGCACAGAACAATTATAAGTATGGCCTACAAATAAGTGTTTCCCGATATGAATGTTTGTCTTTGTACAATTTATGTATATTAAACGACTCTACGAACCCCCACGGAAAATAAGTCCTAGTTTTATTAAAAGAAAAAGGTGTACCACTATATCTGCGAGCTTTCAGTCACTTGTCAACCTTGCTGAACTCGGACATATGGACATCATCATAATTGTCATCATCATCACCCTCATCCTGTGATCCTATTTAAGACACCTCCATATTTTGAGAGTTAATAAAATATATTATTTATGTAAATCATAAATCTTAACTAGTTGGGAATCGAATCTAGAACCAACAACTTAGCAGGTTCAAGCAGCGTCAACATCTGGAACTGAGATTGTCAATCCGTCTGCCAAGGGCGACTCTATCAATGGGAATCCTCCCTTGTACAAAAGAGTGGACATTTAAAGGCTAATGAAGAATAATTACAAATTAATAAATTTATGTAAACATATTAAAATGTTATGAACATAAAGGCTACATAATAATTGATTGTAAAACATGAATTACTTTTCTTATAAAACATAAAACGGAGGTAAATCATCCACGGAGCGTATCTATAGATCAGTATGTAAATATAGATTTATGTTCTCAATATTAAAATACCGTAAAGATTCAATGAGTTTCGCCCGTAACTTTCACGTGATGTCATAAAATTTTCCATAATACGGACCGCAGATGTTATATTAAATTTTAAATATCGAACCATCCCATCGGCCGGCGTTCAATTTGCCGCGAAATCTCTATCGCGACAGCTTTAGGGCACGTATATACATGGCGATAAAATAATCACCCCGTCGGCAGCCATTCGAACGATATAAAGATCCGAGCGAATGATTCCATCTCGTTTCGCGCAGTTTATTGTTATTTCACTGCTTTATCGTCGATCATAGCCTTCTTTTTTATCCGTTAAAGAGCGTACACAGGCATCTTTGTTATAAGGCAATACATAAACAATTTTATGACGTTTATCATAAACTACGCTAAATTAAAATTACGTATTTTCATTACAAACTGAAGTGACAAGCTAACGTTCTATCTGATGGTAAGTGGCTACAGTCCATAGACAACCACAACCAACTTCAAACATAGATGATTACACATGCGTTGTCAGCACAAGGGACTAAGATAGAATGTTTAACAGCTTGTAATTATTATTCTAGCTCTGTATACCTATATACAATATAACAACACAAGAGGGTGGTAACCTACCTAGACGGACGCCCAGGCTGAAGATGTTTCTTTAATTGGAATTATTGAATTTTTGCAAATGGTCAAAGTAAAAAAAAATAGACATTAAAAAATAACTCTTCTTTTTTATTAATTAACTTGCTTTTTAAATGCTAATTGAGCCATTGAAAATACCATTATTATTTAAAGAAAAGTAAAACATCAGATATGGAATCTTATTTGCTTTAGCTTCCGATGTTTAATGTTTATTTACCTTCTTTCAAACAAACTGGAAGGCTAATTACCAATGTATAAATACAAATATTTTTGTTTTGCTATCAAAATGAAATCTATTAAAAACCGTTCCAATTTATTCTTGAAACCCTAAAGTTTCCGATACGAAAAAAGTTATCAAAGAACATTTCCCCGTGTTCCGCGCGGAGTGTAGAAGCCATCAAAATTCAAGCCAGTTTTCCTCAACCGACGATATTGTGAGATACCTTATATTAAACTCTAATAAAACTCCCCAACTCTAATATAATTTCGCGTCCTGGACCAAATATAAGGCGGGTGTCACACGACTGCATTATTCCGTGACACTAACTGTGACATCAGTTTCTTGAGGTCATGCGTACATGTAAATAAGTCCTCTTCTGTGCTGATTTCTAAATTAGTTTTATATCATTCGTGTCTTTATTATTCTTAAAATTTTAAAAATATTTCTAAATTTCTTAAAAAAATTTAAGTGCGTAATAAATTAAACATACGTTTTAAGGTAGTCCATAATTGACTGAATTTACTGAATATTTATAAAATATCACGCCTGTTACTAGGGGCAGAGACAATGGACTTCCATTTGGCATGAGCCCGACGCATATATCTGGCTTCTTACACATCCATTACAATATACTTATACTCTTAATTTAACCAATGTTCTTTATATCGCCAATATGGTCGAAAAACTTCCGTCTAGGGTGCCCCTTGCCGACTCTGCAACTCACTTCTGGAGCATAACTTTGCTTTCTCATTCTTTCTTCATTTTTATTTTCACATGGTCAAACCATTAAAGCATTCCTTTCCAATCCCGGTATAACCTCGTCTAGTAAAGAACACTTTTCACTTATCACACGACTTTTTATTCTATTATTCAAAGTCACGGCGAACATATTTCTTAATAACATCATTCATCATTTTCATTCTCATGCCTTACCTATCTTTCACTAACGTCAATTTACATTACCATTATTAAAAAAAGAAAAAATACAGACAAAACAGTTCAATCGGTCTATTCTGAAATAAAAAATTAAAGGGTCTTAACCTTTCGGTTTTTTAGGGATTTAATACTGATATTAGTTTCAAATTATGCAGGATTCGTCATGTTAATAACGCAGATAACATTATTCAAAAATAATAGGTTAAACTTTATTTAAATTTTTAAATGATATAAATAAATTATTGTATGAAACTGCCCTAATTTAAGCGGCAGCCGCGCGGCGGCGCTGTCGACAATCAATCGATAGGCGACCGGTTGCCAAGCAACGATCATGTTGCAAAATAAACAATCAGAATCGGGGCCTGGCCGTGAGCAAATTTGCTTTCTTATTTTATTACTTGTGTCAACATTTTAGATCGATATTATCGGATTATTTACTCCCTTACGTTGTATCATGGTATTTTGAATCTTTTATATCAAACATGGTGTTATTACCGCCCTGTGCGCCCGAAACATGCGGCAAGGAATTTCGTCAATCACTGAAGAAGCCAAGTCCAAATTATCCATATGGCTACAAAAAGAGAAAGCCACGTATCGTGCCTGCGTTTACGATACAAGCAATGCAGAGGAATACAAAGGTGTTGCCGCCTCCGAAATGTGGCGTTTGCGACCCTTTGCCACCAAAGCCGACAATGTTCAGAAAATGCTATCAAAGAGGCGAATTTCCCGTCTCTATTGAGTTCACTACGAGCGGAAAAAAGCTATCTTGGAAGGTAACAACTGTTCACGTGTTATCCGGTGTCCGTTTTGTGTCGTGCTCGGAGACCGAGAGTTTTTTTTCGTTGCGTTAGCATTGTGTGAATTTTAGTCAGATTATTATATCTTTATATTGTTGAAAACATATTTCTGAAATTTAGTTATATAAAATTATTTATAGTAGATAACAATTTTTGGTAGTTGTTGGGAACACTAAGCTCGAAGTTGTTGACGAGTATGTTTACCTGGGACAAATAGTCCGACTGGGTAAGTCCAACTTCGACCGAGAGGTCAATCGACGGATTCAACTCGGCTGGGCAGCGTTCGGGAAGCTACGACACATCTTCTCGTCAGACATACCTCAAAACCTTAAAACGAAATTGTACAACCAGTGCGTGTTGCCAGTGATGACTTACGGAACTGAGACGTGGTCCTTCACTGCTGGCCGTATGAGGAAGCTCAAGGTCGCTCAGCGAGCTATGGAGAGGGCTATGCTCGGAGTTTCTCTGCGTGATAAACTTAGGAATGAGGATATCCGCAGTAGAACCAGAGTGACCGACATAGCCCAACGGATTAGTAAGCTGAAGTGGCAGTGGGCCGGCCATATAGCTCGAAGAACCGACAACCGATGGGGAAGAAAGGTTCTCGAGTGGCAGCCTCGTACCGGTAGGCGAAGTGTAGGGCGTCCCCCCACGAGATGGAGTGACGACCTGGTAAGACATGCAGGAAGTCGATGGATGCAGGTGGCTCAGGACCGTGTTTTGTGGCATTCTTTGGGGGAGGCCTATGTTCAGCAGTGGACTTGTGAAGGGCTGTAATGATGATGATGATGAGATAACAATTTTTGTTAAGAAATAAAATGTGAGATATATTTTTTTTATAGGATAAGGGTGACAAACGAGCACACAGTCCACCTGATGGTAAGTGGTTGCTACGGCTCATAGACATCTACATCTATCCTTGTTTGCGAATCAAAATGCAGATGCGTTGCCACCCGTGAGGACTAAGATGGAATGCCTCATTTCCAGTAAAAAGGGCCTCCAGCCACCTGCACTCACCAAGCGAAACGCAGAGGTACACCTCTACTTCACGCTGGTATTCTGTCAGGTCGTGGTACCACCCCGGTTCGAGCCGGCCCATCCGTACGACAGCAAAAGCTGCCGCGTGGCTCTATCACTTAAACTATCTCATCTCTATCAGTTAAAAAAACCACCTGTTAAAATATATTTTCGACTTCAAACATAGTACACTTTTTGCAACCTGCTTAGAAGCCAGGGTTCCGTTTATATGTTGCAATATTTCATAACATTTCGCCCCTTAAAATGTTGCTTTAGGAACAGATAGTATGATCTCATACCTTTTGTTATATGGCGGTATAAACATTTCGTTAACGTCAGATCATACCCAGACCGGAAACAGAGAGCAGCATCAAAGGTGCACGATGTCTGATACTTTGTTTGCTAATCCACGTAACAAGCATGGCAACTATGTAAATACTTCATATGAGGCAATCTATCGGACTCATGATAGGCCTTTTTGTATTGATATTAATTATGGAAAATTCATGTGCGTATAATCACTTTATTTTACCTGCCTTAAGGGCAACATACACACAATACTTTTTCAGCGCATTAATGGCAAAGTACCATTCGCTTGATATACGCTCCATTTCCCTCCTTTTAAAAAAATAATAAAAAATTGACGTCAATTCTCGATATCCACGAATTCGTCATCATTATAATCATTACAGTACATCACTATCGATATTGGAATTATCAAGTCCACCGCTGGACATATACCTCGAACAAGAAATGCCACAAAGCACGGTCCTCAGTCACCTGCATCTATCGACTTGCTGCGTGTCTTAACAGGTCATCACTCTATCTAGTGGAGGTCAGGTCCCACACTAGAATAAAATAGAATATAATAAAATGATTTTTTATTCAATATTGATTATTACATAATACTTATTGAAAGTCATTTTTTATTTACCACTGGTTCGGAAAATACCTCTGTCCTGGGGAGAGCCAGCCAAGAAACCCAGCGGGACCTTTTTTTAAAAACATATTTAACTTAACAATAATTTGTTTGTACAATTTTTAAATGAATTTTCATACAACCAGCATGGTGGCGATCATCTTACTCCCAGGGGTTATTTTCATTCCTTTAGTCCTTGATATTATAATAACCCTTTTTGTACAGTTTTTTTTTAATAAAACTTTTAAGCTTGTTTGTTGACAAACTTTGAACATGTTCTGGGATTTTGTTGTAAAAGCGTAGACATTGCCCCATAAATGAATCACTGATTTGAAACACTATTTTACACAGCAATTTTATCACTATTGAGTTGTTGTCAGGAAGACGCTGCTGTTAATTTCCTGTTACAGTTTCCATCACATCATTTGTATTTCAATTTAAAAATGAAAATTTGCTAGCTAAAGAATTTAAATAACAATCTTAAATTCATTACCTATCAAACGTATAAATAGATTAAACTTAAGCTTCTCTCAAACGTTCTGTGCAGTATGTTAGACTTCAAAGTGCTTTGTATATTCTATTGCAATCCATTTGCTAAACCCTAAAATGTCCATTTCAAATACTCAGTTAATTTAAAAAAGGTAACTTTATTGCATGGTAAGGTGATGCAAATTATTATAATAATATGTAGTATGTATTTACATTATATTATATATATGTACTATTTTATTATTACGCGATAGAGCCATACTGCAGCAATATTAGTAATATAGTTGTAGCACGAATGGGTCGGTTCGACCGGGGAAGGACCACGCTCTCACAGAATATCAGCGTAAAATAGCATTATTGGAAAAGAGGCATTTCATCTTAGTCCTTACAGGTGATAACGCATCTGCATTTTGGTTCGAAAACGAGGATAGATGTAGATGTCTATGGGCCACGGCAAACGCTTACCATCAGATGGACTGTGTGCTCGTTTGTCACCCTATCCTATAAAAAAATGTAATGAGGTATATAGTACTTTATGCTGATGTTTTTTTTTTATAGGTAATGTACGAGTATTTCTAAGATTCCACTTTCCTCACTAGGTTATCCATATAAAGACAAAAGATACACTTTAATTCATGGATGTAGTAATTTATCTCTACATATATACGCACATATATTAAAAAAAAATGTTTTGTAATATCGAAATAACTGTTTCTTGATGAGATTTGTGGTTTGTTTGCATGCTATTATATTTGTCTGTCTGTCTTCGCTAATCTTCAGAATGGTTTAACCGATTGTGGTGAAACTTTAAGAACAGATAGAGAGCAATCTAGACTATATTTTATGCTAACATGGAAGTATTTTTTTGAGAAATTGAAGAATTGATAAATTAAATGGTCTTTGATAATTTAATTTATCAATTTAGTAAATCATGTGGTTTTCACATAATTTACCGAAAGAGTATTTGTAATGTTCCCCCGTATGTAATTTCAATAAGATCTATTGACAATTATGGATATGGTTTTTTAATAAGCATTTCTTATAGAATATATTATGAAATTGGTTTCTCGAAAGCGGTTTTACCGTTTCAATTAAATTTTGTATAGAATTAATGTTTTAATATTCAAGTTTACCGAGATACTTTTTATTCCTTAATTTCTTTTCCAATGCCGAGCAAACATCGATCGCCCAGGTAATATTCCTAATATATATGCGAAAGTTATTTGTTATTTGCTATTAATTTGAGATAATAATATTTTAGGTGCCAATAGAAAAATTGGACTTCCATCACTATCTCCCCATATTCTTCGATGGACTTTCGGAGGGTACTTATCCCTTCAATTTCATCGTGGAGCAAGGAATCCACGACTTGGTTACCAAAGGTTCATACAAAGTGTTGCCAGTGGTGCCCCAGCTAATTATTCCGATCAAAAGTAAGAAATATATTTGTTTTTCTTATCTTTAAAGTACATACGTGGTAGAGCCATGATGTAGCTATATTAATGATATAGTTGTAGCTCGAATGGGTCGGCTCGACCGGGGAAGGACCTCACTCTCACAGAATACCAGCGTAAAGTAGCAGCTTAACGCTGCTGTGTTTCGTATGGTGAGTGTAGAGAACCGGAGACCCTTTTTACTGGAAACGAGGCATTCCATCTTAGTCCTCAGGGGTGACAACCCATCTACATTTTGATACGTAATCGAGGATAGATGTAGATATCTATGGGCCACAGCAACCACTTACCATCAGGTGGACTGTGTGTTCGTTTGTCGCCCTATCCTATAAAAAAAAAAACATTAACAAAGACGAATAGTTACGACGTCCTCAGCGGTAAAGATTTCGTTTACTGACTCATTGATTCAGCAGCCTATTTGATAGCATCTATTGATTAGTTTCCTACAGTCAACAAAAACACAGATCAGTCTTATTTAAAGGTGATACTGTGCCATAGATATAGAAATATTCGTTCATTTAATCACACCAGCCTATCAGAGATCAATGTCCACTACCGAGCATAGGCGAGGAAACCCGCACGTCTGATAAACTGAATAATATTGTATTTCGAACACATGATCTGATGTTCGCCAATGCGTAAAGGGCGGCATTCCATACCGATAGACCATAGAACGTTGGACGCACAAATATGCACCCAATACCATGTTGTTGTTTGCAAATGATTTTAGATGCATATTAGTGCGTAAGTGCATGTTGTTAGAATAAGTTGCGCATAGTTTTGGTTTGATGTCGGTGTCACTTGAAATGTATGTAATGTTTTGTCTTTATCTCATTGTTGGTCTGATGTGACATACTCTACTCTAAAGCTCTCTCTGGGATGAGGAATTGTCTGCTTCCAGCAGTGGGACAATATGAAGACAGTTGATTTTTACTGGAAGCGAATTAGTAAAAATATATCGATATCACTTCATCATCACAAGAAATTTTTTAAAGCGGTAGAGCAATGCTGTAGGTGCTATATTATATATGTAGCACGAATAAGTCAGCTGACTGGGGAACGACTACACTCGTATACAACAACCTTTTAAATTGCAGCTTAATACAGCTATGTTTCGAATAGTGAGTATAGAGTATAGATAGAAAGGGTCTCCTTTTACTGGAAACGAAGCATTCCATCTAAGTTCTCAGGGGTAATAACGTAATCGCGTTTTGCTTCTTAATTGAGCATAAATAAAGAAGTCTATGAGCATGTCATAGGATTAACTTACCATCATGTGAACTGTGCGCTCATTTACCACCCTTATTCTATTAAATAATAATCTACTATTGTTACTAGAACTAATACCCTTATTAACAACAAGTTGTAAAGCCCTACTTCCCCACCTTACGGGTTGAATTTTCCTAATTCATTTCTTAGTGGGTGCCTACGTCGAGAAATGATATATCAAATTTTTATCTAATACTAGCTGGTACCCGGCACGTTGCTGCCACAGAAAAAAATAATTGTCGAAATATCGTTTTAAATTTGGGACAGTTATAATTGGAAATGATAATACATTAATTGAAATTGAGTGACGAGTTACGATACGCGCGCCACCTATTGTAAGTTAATTGTACTTTGACTGTAACCTACTCACAATCTGTTAAACGGTATGGTAACACATAAAATACGAACAAACAAAAAACAATACAAACGTTTTGGAAATCTCATGAGTGTGTGAGTCAGTGGTATTTCACTTATTTAAATATATATAGATAGATAACGAGGCATCCTAACTAAGTGATTTGGGATGAAAACCATTCTACAATTTTATTATAGTCAATGATACATGGTTAATAGGTGTATATGGGCCACAGCGTACACTACTCAACTCTTACGACTTCTTGACAAAATGCGATGACACCGTTTCACGACAATATTAAAATTAAACAAAATTAATTCTACTATTTTATGTTTTTAATGTCAAAATACATGTAACATAATTCCAAAAAGTTAGTGAAAAGCAACAATTTTTGAAAAATTTCGCGAACGCGCTCAGCGTTTCCAAACTCTAAAAGCAATTCACCCTATTTGTACAGATGCACTCGCGACAAAGCGCCCGACTGTGCTATGCCACGCTCTCAAATGCATCCAGATGCTCGTGACCGGCTGCGACCGAGTCGGCGAGGCTCTCGTGCCGTATTACAGGCAGATATTACCCACGCTCAATTTGTTCAAGGACAAGAATCGTGAGTATACGTGCACTGATGTGTTACGGTCGATTTATTATGCTTTATTTTTCCGTCAGGTATAATCTATATATTTACGGTCATTTTATGTGAGGGCGATAAATAAATAAAATAGATGCAGGAATTCTGCAAATGCTATCCTCGACTGCAGGCGGTGAAATCTGCTGATTGACGAATAAGACCCCAGTGATCGATTTATAGGGGAAATTCATTTGAATTGAAAAAAAAATCCGTAAATATTACAACCTGGAAACATGGACCATTAACCAGTGCTGGGGTATATGTTCGGTCTAAACCTGTTTTCTTCTTCATGAAAAAATATATAATTTTTATGGGTGCAAAGATTGTCGGACTCGCACCAGTTAATACTCCATAATGTTCCACCTTCGCCGCATATCGGCAAGCCCACGAGAACACTTTCCAACACAACCGCAGCCACGCCAGGTCGTCGGCTTTCGGCAGTTCTTTTTATGATGGGATAACTCCTCCCTTTATTCCTCATTCCATTGACACAAAGTGGGTCACCACCAATACCCTGGGCATTTAGCGTATGAGAAAATATTTCAATTAACGCGTAACAGTTCGTAAACGCGTAGTAGTTCAGTTGTAAACTTATGTAAGGGCTTTTTTAAAACGGGGGGATAGTGTAAGAGCTTACGTTGCAATATTATAACACGGTGTAACGATTCGACGCCGCGCTGACTGGCAGTTAGCCCCTTGCCTCGGTCCGAATAGGTAGTAGTTACCGAGAGGAAATAAATACAGTGATGTACAAATAGACTTTGTATTATTTAGCACCTACACCTATAGGCGAGCATAGGGCTAACTCACACTTATAATATAAAACGGAATCGTGGTAAATCGCTTACTATGGAAGTCTAGTTGCCATTTTGCTTAGTTTTAAAAGACGATATTTTAAGAGAACTAATAATTTTCTAATTGTGTTTCCGCACAGCAGGTATATACTGTGGAATGACAATTTTAAATCAAGTTCTTTAATAGTCATACCGAATTATTGATTACGAAATATCAAACAAAGTTATACAACATGTTATAAAGTAATTAAAGTTGTGGGTGTATATATATAACATCAACCAAATTTGTAGCAGAATGACACATAATAAGTTAGATGATTTATTACGTTGCATTTCATACAATTTGTTACATGTTGTATATTATTATACTGCCGTATGACAGCACTATATCGCTGCCATCACGTGAATAAACCATATCAAACGAGCACACAGTCTACTTGATAGTAATTGGATGCCATGGGCCCTAGATATCTACACCTATTCTCGATTAAAAATCAAAATGCAGATGCGTTGTCATCCCTTAAAGAATAATATGGAATGCCTCGTTTCCTATAAAAATGTACTCCAATTTTTACACTCATAATACGAGACACAACAGCAAGCTGCTACTTTATGCTGGTATTCTGTGAAGGCATAGTGCTTCCCCGGTTGAGGGGACGCATTGGTACTACAACCGTAATATAGCTGCAGTGTGGTTCTACAACTAAAACAACTACACTTGTGTTAATATATGTTATCATGGCATTCTCGATGCTCCAGATCTTTTACATCTACTTACTTTCTCAGCGCCACTCAAGCTACCCTACCTCAGTCATTGAGATTTAACATACTCGTGAATCGATGTAGTAAATCTAATCTTGGTCAAAATGCCACTTTAAACCGTTTTGTAAGAGAGTACAGAAACCTGGACAAAACAATATACTTAGGTAGCGTTCGCAGCTTAAAAAAAATCATTGACTGTACAATAGTGTTGTTGAATTTTACATAACTTATAAATATAATCATTTGAACCTTCCAAACCCTTTCCTGTTGCTTTTTATCTTATTTTTTATTGCACATGGTCTTCACCTATATTTATAATAGCATTAAGCTTTACAAACCCAATATGTAGACCTATTTGCAGCGAAGTAATGTTTATTATGTTGGTGTTAAAATAAATAAATAAATCACTATTATGTATATGACAGGTAAAATGTGTTCTACAAGGTTATTGATTACAATTGTAACAGTACGCTGCAAGGGACATCATTTATCTCGATAGTTGCACTGTCGGTGCCTCAAAGTAACATGTGTTGTACATCTGTATCCGATTAAGCTCAGTATCAATGTCATATATTTGTTATAAGGTTATCATATTTAGTTTGCTACCGTTTCTCGTTGCTCTTCCTCTGTGCATGTTTGTTGGTAATGTTTGAGTTAGTATGTAATATTGAGTTTCAAATAATATGACTAATAAAATCATAACTTGTTAACAAGTATTTTTAAGAGAATATCCTTTATAAGAATCTATGATTATTCGATAGCATCACTGGTCTGGTGGCCGTCAACGTGATTGCTGTTTATAAGGTCCCGGGTTCTAATGCCGTGTCGTCCCAAAATCTGTTACTGGGTTACCTGCCAAGAAATTCTTAGCATTTTCATTATTATTCCCATTGAATGAAATTCAGTCCAGACCAAATCTAATTATAGAAAGCGTCTTTTGAATACATATAAACAGATTTCATAGCTGTTTTTGTGTCTTTAAACCAAAGTTAAAGAAAAGCAATGAAATCTATTTCATTAATTATTTAATTAGGTAGTCAGATATTTTAGCCACAGTAGTGATAGTAGTATTGTGGTTAAAAGTGCGGATTGCAAGCCAAAAACTTCGTAGGTTTGAATCCGATTTTCGACTGCTACGATTTTCTACAAACAAATGCATTTTACGCTTTCTAAGAGCAATTAGGATTATCAGTAATATTAAAAATGTTCCAGTATTCTTATTAAATCATCATCATCATCATAACTGCCCTTCACAAGTCCACTACTGAAGATAGGCCTCAACCAAGGAATACCACTAAGTATGGTACTGAGCCATATGCATCCATCGACTTCCTGCATGTCTCCTAAGGTCGTCACTCCATCTAGCGGGAGCAGTGCAACATTTTACCTACCGGTACGAGGCTACCACTCGAGAACCTTTCTTCCCTATCGGTTCTTCGAGCTATGTATATGGCCAGCCGATTGTCACTTCAGCTTACTTATCCACTTGGCTATGTCAGTTACTCTGGTTCTACTGCGGATGTCCATATTTTAAGTCTATCACGCAGAGAAATCCCGAGCATAGCCCTCCCCACAGCTCGCTGAGCGACCATGATTTTCCTCATACGGTCAGCAGTTCTTTCTTCCCCATCAGTTATATGGCCAGCCGATTGTCACTTCAGCTGTTCAGCTTACTTATCCGCTTGGCTATGTCGGTTACAATGGTTCTACTGCGGATGTCTTTATTTTAAGTCTATCACGCAGAGAAACCCCGAGCATAGCCCTCTCCACAGCTCACTGAGCGACCTTGAGTGTCAGTGTGAGTCAGCAGTTAAGGTCTTTCTTATTAAATACATTTAATTAATTTCAAGGTTTTTCCATATTTACCGATAGTTATTACAATTCATAACAAACTTCAGCTAAAGTGTGGGATGTTACAAATAACACGTAATTTGTAACATTAGCTTGACGAAGCTGACTGCGAGGAACAGTGACGAAACCGATTCTCCCCAAATGCTCCCAACCTCGGCCGCAACTATTTGACAACACGAGAAATGAGACGAAGCGAACGAAACACACTCGCGACAAATAAGTCGCAATTATTAGATTTCACCAAAATTGTGTTATATATTACTATTATATGTGTGTGTAAGTACATTGTTTTTCAACATTGAAACATAACTATACTGTACACATTAGAATAACAATGCAATATGTTATATGACATTGCCGTTTGTCGTTCTGCAGTGCTTTTCACAATGTCGACACGGGAAGAAGTTTTGCTAGTTGCTGCAGCAACTCTTGTACTTTTAAATAACAAAAGAAAAAACATAGTTACTGAGTTCGTCCCAAACAAACATAGTTTATTGACTAAAGAAAAATACACTCAAGTTATATAATATTTGTGTCACGTTATATAACACATTTTATAACTTCATTTTATAACTTCAGTCTCCACATTACTGAAACATGTTATATATAACACAATACATATAAAATAACATGTTATGTTATATAATATGTACGCACCGTAATGTATATAACTATTACATTAATATATAGTTAACACGCTTGACAGGCGGTGTGACAATCGCAGAATTTATTATTGTGATTTGATCGTATAGTGGCTGTGTAAAAATAATCATCACCGCATAATATCTTCCGATGGGTGTTGTAAGAGGCGTAACAATTACTACTTAAAAATTGCGGTTGCTAGTAGCACGAATGGGTCGGCTCGACCGGGGAAGGACCATGCTCTCACAGAATACCAGCGTAAAACAGCAGCTTAATGCTGCTGTGTTTCGTATGGTGAGTGTAGAGTACCGGAGATACTTTTTACTGGAAACAGGGCATTCCATCTTAGTCCTCACGGTTGACAACGAATTTGCATTTTGAATAGTAATTGAGGGTGGATGTAGATGTCTATGGGCCACAGCGACCACCTACTATCAGATGGTTTGTGTGCTGGTTTGTCACTCTCATCCTATAAAAAATCAATGAGGGGTTTATTTTTTCATTGAATATATTCCGCAGTGGACTTTTGATATGCTGTAACGGTTACGATTATCAGCAGTAACGATTATCAGGAAGATGTTACTGAACTTAAGCTGTTTCGCTTCTCTCTCTTGCCTCTTGCGATACCCACGGGTGTAGGTGTAGGATTATCGATGCGTAAGAACGCATTCACGCTGGTTTCGTACCGGTAGGCAAAGTGTAGGGCGGCCTCCCATTAGATGGAATGACGACCAGGTAACACATGCAGGAAGTTGATGGATGCAGGTGGCTCAGGACCGTGCTTTGTGGTATTCCTTGACGGAGGCCTATGTTCAGCACTGGACTTGTGAAGGGCTGTAATGATTATGATGATAATGATCGCAGAGAGTGTTTTTACAAGAATTTCAACGTCTAAGTATAGTTTTTGTATAAACACGTATTAACCAAAAGGCCTATAAAGTAGTAATAAACGATACGTGATATGGGATACACTTTTTCACTTTATTAAGGGGCTACTCTACTGTGTGAAAATACACTATCACTGCTGTTTTCTTGATTTGATTACTATATAAAAAATAAATAAAAAACTACTTCTGAAGCTCATTTTCGTAATTTATTTTGATATTTTCAGTACTTTGAAGTCGGATTTCACTTTTGATTAAAATCTAAGACTTTATAAGAGAATGTCTAAGTTTTCAACGCTTTCGAGTGGACTAAGGAATCAAAAGCTCGAATGTCGTTTAAAGTTACTTTAAACATTTTATCTCCTAATCGTTTTCACTGAAGTATAACTTATTTAATAAAAAAAATAATTATTAAAATCCGCGCACTATTGATATCGAGTAATATGCAAACAAAAAATATTTTTCTACGTGGTAGAGCCATGCTGCAGCTATATTATGGTTGTAGCACGAATGGGTCGGCTCAACCGGGGAAGAACCACGCCCTCACAGAAAATCAGCGTAAAATAGCAGCTTAACGCTGCTGTGTTTCGTATGGTGAGTGTAGAGAACCGGAGACCCTTTTTACTGGCAAAGAGGCATTCCATCTTAGTCCTCACAACGCATCTGCATCTTGAGTCTTTATTGAGGATAGATGTAGATGTCTATGTGTCACAGTAACCACTTACCATCAGGTGGACTGTGTGCTCGTTTGTCACCCGATCCTATAAAAAAAATATACTCGAATTGAGATGCTCCTTCTTTTTTTTTAATTCGGTTTACTTACACGAAATAAAATATTCAAAAGCTATAGTTGAATAAAATCTTTAAAAACTATATAAAATTATTTTTATTATTATTTTGATCAGGAAATAGATGTAAACAATAAAAATGACAGTTAATGTGTAGTTTGCTGCGACCAGTCGTTAGTCTGTATGGCAGGACTGGCACGCTCAGAATTCCCGTAACAATGTGTCCGGGCGTCAGGACGCGGTGGTGCCAAGTAACGCCCGAAATACGTTCTAACGCCTTTGCCGACGACGCCGTGTAATTAATCTTCTCGAACGCAACGACAAGTCTATTATAACGGAAACAATGCGGTGCTTCGATGTTATTGAGACGCGTGATATTTTCCGTACCATTATTGATATAATATGAAATCTATAACCTTAGCAAATAACTATTGATATAAATTTTTTTTATCAATAGTTATCTTAAACATAATTAGCACCAACTATGTTTAAGATAATGATTTCTTATATTTACGTGAAAAATACACATGGAAAGATCTTATTTAACCATTTTATAGCTTTTAATTAAAACTTTTTTTTTAATTCCCGACTGTCGAATGCTTCACGACTCAGTGACTGAGGTGAACCATACATACGTTTTTTTTTGTAGATCTATAACGTCGTCGTTTAGCAATTCAGAATTTCTCTACTAGACTTACATTAAACCGACTTATAAATAATAAAATAATTAGTAATGAAACGATAAGTCCCCTTCCCTTCTACCACATGAGTAAATAAACAGAACAGAGAAAAAGTTTCTTAAGAACGTGGAAAATTGTTACCTATTTTGGTAGGGTTGTCACAATATGTAAGGACAAATTAAACAAAATATATGTTAAATACTCGTAGTTTTATTATTAAGTATGATACAATAATTTACAAATTACTTACTCTAATAATTTTCTTTTACAATTATTGTTTTGTTTCTTTTAATGGTGTGATAAATTCTGAATCTATCATAAAGTTTTTTTGAGTAATCTAACGAGAAACACTCACATGGCATATTAAATTTACAATCTTTGATACGTTTAAGTATTTCGTTGCCAAAATTGACAATATTTGTTTCAAGATCAAAATATTCGTGAAACTTTTGCTCGAGTAATTCAACAAATGCGATAAAATTATCACGAGGTATAATTAAAAAAACCCAATTGTTCGTTACCAACATTAAAATCCCTATAATGGCTGAATAGAGAATCGTACATTTTTATTTTTTCGCATTTGTTATGTCTTTCGGGGCCTTTTCTGTACAAATAGCTTGATGAGTAGGTATACTAAACCATTTTTTTCCGGTAAATCAAACCGATAGTCACTTGTTCATACTGTTGGTTCAAATCTTACTTGCAATATGTGAACTTAACACACACACCTACTACATACCAACCCACCCACATACCTACAAATGTTTAGTAAAAGCTTGTAATAACAATAAAAAGGTAAAAACACTCCAGGTAAAAAAGGTACTTGAAAAAGTAATAATCAAATATTTACTTACCTATAATTGTACTCCTTGGTATAGTTAAAGTATGATATAGTTTTATTTTTTCTAGTATTATTCATACACACAATACAATAAACAACCATTATTAATAATACCGCCTTTTTACATTCAATATTCAAACTTGCAACTAACAAAATAAACAACGTGCGTCGCACTGACCCTGAGATTGTTGTCCACTGGCTAAGCCACCGTAACCGGTTTTTTTCAGTCTTGCCGCGTACGCGACAAGCGGCCAGTGGTCACGCACACATGCCCCGCGTGCTTGGTAGTAGTGCAATCGATTCGCGCGGTTGTGTGAAGCTTTATCTCTGTTGCGTTTATTTACTCAAGTGCTTCTAATAAGTCCGATATTTAGGTATATTATTTCATATTATGATAGCCAATGAAATGTACCACGTAGAGGCGATGTAAGAATATTGTACTCCCCCAAATCGTCCCGTGGATATCGTAACAAGCGACAGATGGGAAATAAACCAAAAAGTTGTCAACCAATCCGCCAAACGTGGCAAGTATGGTATGTATCTCTTCTTATGAAGGAATCCCATCTTATCCTATCCAAACGAGATCTATGTTCGGCAGACGTCATTGATACGTGGGATAGGAGATGATAGTAGTTGTATTCGGGCTACAGCATTCACTTACCATTGGATTGTGTGCTCGTTTTTTACCAATGCTTCTTAAAAAAAAACACGTGTAGTGACGCTACTGTGTCTACTGTCCCTTTGGTGTCGTAAGAGGTGATAGAGGGAAACAAACCAGCAGCCTCTTCTAATAATAACTAGAAAACAAAAAACTGCGGTTGCCACCCGCTATCTAAGCGTGGTAGCATGACAAATATACTCATTATGATGCCATATATAAGGTGGCCTTTATTCAGCTGTGAACAGTTTAAAAGGCTGTAATGAATGAAGGAATGAATAAATAAATGAATTGAAGATAATATACTAATCTGACAAAGTAAATACTAACATATTTTTATCTTCAGGTAACATTGGTGCTGGAATAGATCACACCACTACACGCGGAGAAAATGTTGCTGACCTAATCGAAGATACTTTACAGATCTTAGAGCGGTACGGTGGTCCAGATGCGTTTATTAACATTAAATACATGATACCAACGTACGAATCTTGCGTGCTAAATTAAATCTGATATTTTCCATGTTTTTCAATCGTTATTATAGAAATGTTTTCTTATCTATGTGCATGAGTCCGTGGTGTACAAATTTTTTTCATAACTTAATAATAATACTTCGTTTAAAGGCATCTAAATGATCAATCAATTTTAGAACAGCTGGTTATTTTGTTTTAAAGACCTTTTACCTTATTGAAATTCTTAAAAATGTTTTAATTGGTCATGTTTTTTAGGAAAAACATAAAGTAAATTGCTGTGGAATTCCTACGACTTTTACACTAATATATACACTCGAATTAAATAATAAATACTCGTTATTTAGTGACAGATTTACAAATTTCGTTATTAGGATTTAGTTTTGTCAGTGTATATTGCTTAAATTGTTTTTCAATGTTATTAAAAATGATGTTAAAAATATTGCATTTTTATTTATCAAATTAGGTTTTACTCGCTATTAATCAGCTTGGAACTTATAGAAAAAGAAAACTTGCCCAAATACTTATATAAGTGTTTTTTGAGCAAGTAGTACAACTATCGAAAAACCACCAAAACTAAAAAATTTGAAATTCAAGATTTATTGACATGTTTTTGAGATGATTTAAGACTGATATTTAACGTTTTTTTACATAGAAAAAGCATCAATTTTGGAAATGTGATTTCCACCGCAACATTCGTGAAATTAGAGGAACTTCAAGTGCTTTGGAGTCCTCCATAAAGGAATAGTTTGTTTGTTTTTGCACATGTTATTATACTAGTCCGGAAAACAACTGATTACCTGATTCCACAAATTAGACTTTTTAATAAAAAAAAATCCACAAAGCATTTGTAGATTATCAAATATCAAAGCGTTGTGGACTGAAAAGTTATTTCGGAATGTAATACTGGGGAACTTTACCTACAACTCAGAATACAACTATTTAGAATACAATAGATAATGCAAAAAAAAACTCATAATACCTTATTAAGGGCAGTGGATCAAGTCGATCAGACTGAAGTCTGTTTTCGACGATTCAAGCTGTTCTTTTCTGGATATGGTCAACTGGAACAAGTTGATACAGGAAAGATCCATCTTGAAATTTTTCATAGTTGCCACACTTGAAAGGAAGGTCGGCAATAGCAGATTTATATTATTATTAATATTATTTTTAGTTGCATATTTTGTTTCATTAAATTTTATATTATGTATTAAATCAATTTTAAAAAATACAAATGAATGTTGAGACTTTTAAGTCCTCACTCGTATCAAAAACAATTCTAAAGACTTACGTCTTGGAAAATTGGAAATTTATAATGTAACGTAATCGCTTCTCATAGTTTGTTTCAATCGTGCTCGTGTTTGATAAATTCTAAATGTAAATAATGATGTTGTCACTACTATAAATAAATAAATAAATGACCAGGCGGTACCAACAAAATTGATAATTACAACTTTAAGTGCTGATTTACCACGTACCAAAACCTTGTGATTAAATCTGCATGTTTAACTTCGAGGAAGAAATATTTCGAGGTCTTATGAAATACATCAACACGCACTGGGGCCAGACAAATGGCTCCATAACCATATTAGAAATGAAATAAAGCCGAGAGTAGAAGCGTATAAAGTCAATAAATTTGCATTTATAAACAAAGAACAACAAAAACTATAGCAATTTCAGAACGCTTCGCCGTCGGATATAGCGTTGTTAGGCACCGCAAATTACGCAGTTTTCATCTCGTCAGACCACTGCTGACCATAGGCGTTACTTACTATTAAATTAATTTTAAATCTAGTCTAGTCAGCCTATCAAAATTCTACAGCGTTTGCCGAGCATGGCAACTATATGAAATATCCTTCCTATGAGGCAATCTAGGGAGGAAGCCTATGTTCTGCAGAAGCCCCCTACTGGCATTGGTGGATTGTAGTAAATTCACGAATGAGTAAATGAAATTTATAGTGATAATGCTATTCTGGATGGTTTGAAGCATAGCGACAACATGCGAATATTATCTGAAGTCAAATGTATAGATAGAAATTATAAAATCGCCGCAAATGTTCGTCATAATCAACTCAGATCTGATAAAACACTTACACTATACTTACTTATAACAACGGTAGATGCCTGAGATTTTTTTAACATTTGTAATTTATCGAAATTAAAAACAAATTAACTGGGACAAAAAGTCTATAGTTAGATTAAGTCCTCTCATTATCTATACCGAATATTTAATAATTTTAAATTTGTTTTTGTACTATCATTTATTAAAATATACAAATTAACACATTATAAATAATTTTAGGGCCCACTATTATAATTTGTTGAATAATTTACATCAGAAATTGTGGAATAGTTTACAAACGGTTTATTAATACGGTCGCTACTTTACCGGAACCTCTTGGGAACGTCATGTCAATATTTGGATCAACCGGAGCCAAAGCAATTTACAAGCTGCGAAGCAGAATCCACTGCTCTATCTATGCATGCATGTTTGCATGCAATTTGCATTTCAAGTTCCTTTAGTTTCGTGACGGCTAAAACGTATGCATGTAAGTTGTTTGTGAGAGTACCGGGACTTTATTACTTATTCCAGTCTTTGAAATATTTTCATTAGATTTAGAGCTGTAGAGAGAGTAGAAAATGACTTTGAATATAAAATTTAAAAATAAAACGTTATCGTCATCATCATCATAATTACAGCCTATCACAAGTGCACTACTGATCATAGGTCTCCTCCAAATAATGAAATAAAACATACTTTTTGCACGTTTTACCAGGTCTTGTCATCACTCCAGCCTAATGCCTAAACACTTCACTTACTCATACAAGCCTGCAACTCGAAAACTTTTCTTCTTCATCAGTTATCGGTGTTTCTAGCTATAAGGCCGGCTCATTGCCACTTCAGCTAACTGATCCATAGCTCTATGTAATTTAATCTGGTTCTACCGGAGATTACGAAGTCATAACGAGTCTATCGCGCAGATATACACCGACCATAGCCTTCTTCATACTTTGATAAATAACCTTGTACTTTATTCCGTTTCCATTAATTGCACATGGATAAACATCCAGTAGTGCAATAACATAACTCTAGTGAAACTTTAACTCTATTGAGAAACTGGGTGATATTCTCTCTTTATGATAATATTTTTGAACCTGAAGTAAAATAGTAATGTAAAAAAGACATTGGCTCATTTCTTCAATGCAAAGAAATCAAACGACAAACTTGAAATACGAAACCAACAACGATTCCCACCAGAGTTACGCAATTGCATTGCTGAACCACAACACATATTGTTGAACATACGAATAGGATTACATATTATTCAACAAAAAAATATAGATGGAGTGCTACGTACATCAAATCAAATTAGAGAACGTCAGTTCTACTAATGAAATTTCATTTTTTTATTATATTTTCATTCTAAGAAGTTTTTAGATATGACAAAAATACTTTAGTAAACTCTATAATACTATAGTTATAAATCCACTTATGCCAGAAACATTGGTTAAATTGCTGATGATGAGGTCACGAGTTCGAATTCTGGATCGGGCTAAAATTAGTTATTGGGTTTCCTGTCAAGAAATACGCAACTGCAGCCCGGAGTCGGGAAGTTGGCAGTGTTTCACCCCGTGCCTCAGAAAACATTTAAAGCCGCTGGTGCTGCGCTTGATGTCTCTGTCGGATTACCATCCCATTGGACTATGAAAGTGAGGGAATGTAGAATGTATGTACTGTAATCTTATCCTGCATAGAATTTCCGGTCTGGATGACATTATTATTATTTCTAATAATGTTTAAATTGTCTTCTTCGACATTAATATAATTGAACAATTAGTCTGCTGCATTGCTCCAGTGCGTATATTTGGACACATGTCCTTGAAATGTTTTATTCGTCAGATATCCAAGTTTCCTAAGAATGTATTACTATTATTTCTAAAAGTGTTGAAATTGCCTTCTTCGACATTAATATAATTGAAAAATTAGTCTGCTGCATTGCTCCAGTGCGTATATTTGGACACATGTCCTTGAAATGTTTTATTCGTCAGATATCCAGGTTTCCTTAGAATGTATTACTATTATTTCTAAAAGTGTTTAAATTGTCTTCTTCGACATTAATATAATTGAACAATTACTCTGCTGCATTGCTCCAGTGCGTGTAATGTGTCGTTGCAACGTTTTATTCGTCAAACCTCCAAGTTTACTTAGGATGCATTATTATTGTTTGTAATAGTATTAAATTGTCTTGTTCGACATTAATATAATTGAACCATTAATCTGCTGCATAGCTCCAATGCGTATAATCGGATACATGACCTTGACATGTTTTAGTCGTCAGACATCCAAGTTTCCTTAGGATGCATTATTATTGTTTCTAATAGTGTTAAATTGTCTTGTTCGACATTAATATAATTGAACAATTAATCTGCTGCATTGCTCCAGTGCGCATAATCGGACACATGTCCTTGAAATATTTTATTCGTCAGACATCCAAGTTTCCTTAGGATGTTTTGGTTTACCGCGGTCCGCGTAGTACGTGTAATTGACAATTCCATAGGTGCTAGCAGGTATCGATCCAAATCGCTTGGTAACCCTTGTCTGTGTCCAGCAAAGAGACGCTTAGAGGATGTTACTTACATTTTAACTTCTTTCAATATAACAAAAATAAATAATAATAAAAATACAAAATAGTGTAAGTGACTGTTTGAGATTAAGCATTATTTATCAATATGAATGCATCCGTGGTAATGTTACAGATTACTGTTCAGAGGTTTAAAAGTGCTTGGCAAGCGAAGCTTATTAATATAAATTGAGTTGGGACAAATGACTTAAGAGTACATTTATCAGCTGCCTGCAGACGATGATGTGGATACAGGGCGACACCTTTTTAGTCACCGAACATTTATTACGGGAGAACCAAAACCATTAAGTAACTGGATATGTCACTAGTCTCAAGTGAGCGCGATAGAGTCTATTTAATAACGATATATTCTTTATTGTTTACTAATGCATATTAAAATGAAAACAAAATGGAA